GAGATGAGATGAGATGAGGTAGAAGAACTGAAAAGAAACCAGACCAGACCAGGCCAGACAAGATAATATAGCACAAGATGAGATAAGATAAAATGCGATACGATACGATAAGTCTTTCATTTGTTGACTTACAAAAGTGAGAAACTCAAGACATATTGAGAGCAAACATTTTCTCTGCTGTAGTGTCCCTTATCACTAAATATCCACGAGTGTCTTCCATGTTTAAGTCTTTTTGAGTTTTATCATGAGCTCTTTATCACAAATTCACCGTGACGTGGAGAAACATCTTCCCAAATGTGCCCTTCAAAATACCCAAACCTGTGTCCCGTCAACATTTCTCAGTATCCCTCCACTTCATTTCCCAGCCACCGCCAATTACTGCATGTATACTTATCTCTGTCAGCAATGTAATTAGCAACCTTCTCCCCATCTAGTGACATTATGGTTCCAATCTGAGAGCCATTCACCGCTCAGACACGCGGCAGCATACTGATAATAGTCGTCCCTTGCCCTTTGAAATTGCTCCCTGTTTAATTGGAGTGGAACTCAGTTGTTCAACTCATTACGAAGCCCCATTAGCTAACTGAGGACGAGGTGTAAAATGTGATATGGATTACGGCTAATGCTGCCTCATGGATTCGTTGTAAAACCGACTTCAAATGATGCAAAGTTTTATGAACAGTCGGGGAGGGGAGGAAATGAAGATCACCAACAAATAAGGCTGTTAGACTTTGGCTAAGTGTTCGGATGAAACAGCTCGAGTGTCGGCCGGTAACAGCATCTATTAAACCGGCCTGAGGTCATCTGGCTGCTTTCACTCCTTCCCCTGTCCCAAAAGCACCGGTCCCCCAGTTTAATCTGAAATTGAAGGCTCTCAAGTGCGACGGATTATAGGGACTAACCCAAGCATGCAGCCGCAGACCGTCTCCTAATGAGCCCGGCCAGCAGAGCATCAAGCGACAACAAGACTCCGACTAGGAGGCCAACTTCACGCCCTGTTAAGAGGCGCAGCGACGACGCCGCCATCGCCATCACGTCTTTGACAGGATTAGACAGTGTTCCCCCGAAATTAAAAGTAGAAGAATAGACACCAAAAGCCACATTTAATAAACGGTGATTTCTATTTTAAGCTTTGTATTTTGGAGTTATACATACTTTGAAATGAAAACACAAACATTTTTTTTTTAAGACTACAAGAAAAAACAGAGTTGTGCCTTAAAGAGAGAGAGAGAGAGAGACATTAATAGTTATATACAGAGCAATATAGGACAACAATTACTTTCCTTCTCTGAAAAGAGTACCGTCGGTGGGATGGTTCTGATCTAAAACGTCACCATTTAGTAGCTGTACAAGCGAGGATGAAATGCAGACTTTCACACGCCGGCTGCTCGTCGGTTCTATCGCTGTTGAATAAAACTGTACTCATCTGGCTCTATATATATTTGTAGATATACTTGTGGGGATCTATGTACATCTTTTTTTTAACTCCCACTCTGTCAGAGCTTCTCTACGACGGACACGCAACAAGTTTTGGAAGTGAGTCAGAAAAAGTGCATTTGCGTCTCCTGTGCCGCAGCGAACCACGTCGAGTTTCTCTCCTCTTGAAGAAGTCCGAGAGACGACGAGGACGAGAAACCTGCAGATCGGTGAGTCGTGTCCGTACACATGCTGACAACAGTCAGGCTCGTGAGAGTCCTCGGGTGAGTCAGTCGTCTCTATGGACTCTTCTGCTCCTCTGCCGGACTCGGGGGATCAGCGGCGGCGGCCTTCTCTTCCTGCCTCTCCTGTTTGCCCTCCAGCAGTCTGTCGTGAGAAACCGTCCCCAGCACTTTGGCACTGTGCTCCTGTGCCTTGGCCCTGAGCGCCGCAATGCTGTTCTCTCTCAGTTCCTCTTTAGAAATGGTGGACTTTCCATCTGACCTCTTCTCCTCCGCCTCGGCCTCTTCTGCCCTCTGAGAGCTCGGCGGCTGCTGCTGCTGCTGCTGCTGCTGCTGCTGGGGGGCATCGTCGCACTTTCCTGTCGGCGTTGGAGCCGTCGCCTCCATGGACTTTTTGTGCATCCCTGCAAAGAGTTGCGGGTATTCAGATTTAGAATAGCGTCTGTTGATTGGTAAGCCATCTTGGACTGAAAATAGCAAGCAAAAAAAAATAGTTCCGGTTTAGAATATAATGCTTTGTATGGACAGTGGTAATGCACGGTGGTGGGTGGAATGGTTCTGGTTGGGAAATATGTTTGCTTAGCAGAATAAAAACATCTACACACAGTTAAGATGCTTTCTATTAAAATGAGAGAATGGCAGGAAAATAAAACACACGAGGAAAGAGCCTCACCGAGCAGCCAGGGGGCGCAGGACTCCATGATGCCATCCTTAGCAGACTTGAGGATGGACTCGGGCAGGGGGATGGAGTGCCTCACCATGGCGCCGTACAGCCCGTACTCTGCCATCACGGTGCTGCGGCCCCAGCACTTCTCCCTCTTCCTCCACTTGGCTCTGCGGTTCTGAAACCAAACCTGGGACAAGAGGAAGGTATCCGTTAGCAGCACCATCACCCAGGACCGTCTGCTCCTCTTTGGTGCATAAGAAATAAGGCTGTCAGAGAGAGAAGTGTGTGGATGTCGACACCAGGTCGCTGCAGCAGAGGCCTGATAGGCTCCATTTTTAAGGCTTTATAAAAATCCATAACTTATTACCTTTGATATTTGAAATTGCTGAGGTGCTGCTAAATCAGACTGGGATCATTTTAGACTGTTGTGGGGGAACTAGATACTTTAAAAAAAATGCCTGAGATTTTGATTTGTGAGCAGTTTCGCCTTNGTGCAACACTGAAGTTCAAGACTGCCACCATGTGGATGGAATAATGAGGTGTGGCTCCAGCAGCAGAGGAAATAATAAAATAAAGCACTTAAAGCTCCATATTATAGTCCTATTTTTGAGGAAAAATAGATAAATTTGCAGCTGTGGTAGGAATAATGCAGCGTTTTCCCTCTGAAATGTAGTGAAGTGGAAGAATAACATGGAAATACTCAAGTAAAAGTACCTCAAAGTTTTAGTTTAGTAGACTACTCGAGTAGATTTATTTAGTTAATTTCCACACCTACATCAAGGAGTTAAAATTAGATCCATTTAACCAGCAACATGAGCAAAAAAACAACTAAAACATTGATAATGATGGATTAATAATTCACTGTTGTGCATCGATTAGCCAAACAACTGCATTTATTTATTCCTCTTATTATTATTATTATTATTATATTTTATTCATCTATTATTTTCTTTTTCCCCCCCTATTACTAGTGTTATATCAATTATAATATCTGTTTGTCTCACAGCTTGTAACTCTGGTAGTTATTTACTGATGATATAGTGATCTCCATATGGTTGTTGTTGTTGTTGTTGTTGTTGTTTTCATGTTCTCGCCTGGTCCCCTCTCTTGTCCCCACATCCCCTCCTCTTCTTTATCTCTGTTCTCTATCCTCCTGTTCTGGTGCAAAATAATAAATAAAATATAAAATCATGCGACAGGAGAAGAACCTCAGACGTTTCCCCTGCAGAGTAAATCTGTGCAGCACCACTGAGCAGCTAGAAGCATCACACTGTTTGACCAAGTCATAGTACAGAACAGGTTTGAAAAAAATAAAAAGATAATGATGGATTAAAACAGTGGTTCCCAAACATTTTCTTGTTTCGTGACTGTTTACTGTTTTAGTCTTTAAGCAAAAGGTGAGTTTTCCCATTCAGACTGTTAAATTTCAAGGAATTTAAGAGGTCACAAGATAAGGAGCAAAAACATGAAAGAATAAATAACTATACAACTTTTGTCAAACAGAAAGTTATTTCTTTTTCTTTTATCAACTTGTGATACATCTGTCACATCTGTACATGATGCAGGACTTTTACTCGTATTTTTAGAAAAACAGTCACTCAACTTTTGCCCGAAAGTAACAGCTAAACTCCATCCATCCATTATCTATACACCGCTTAATCCTCACTAGGGTCNTGTGTGTGTGTGTTCAGCAAAATGACAATAAACCTGATTTGATTGATTTGAAAAGAGAGCATGTTTAAAAGTGAACTAAAGGTTTAGTGCAGATTCTGATGGTGAGAAAAAATACTGTTATTAATAATAAATACATGCTAAACAATGACAACATGTAATGCTGGAGTGTTTTCTTGCAGAATGAATGTTTAAAGTACATTTTGCTGCTCATGTAGGACCTGAAGTGTCCGAATACCTGTAAATACTAGTTTTTAAAGAGCTGTTGTGTTTCCAGCTTTGATGATGTTTATAATGCATTTAGAAATACTGACATCTATAATCCATCAAGTCTTAGTGGAATAAACCAGCCTTCTCCTGTTAACTTAATGTAAATACACGTTCTGTGAGTTGAATTTAATGTGAAGTATGTGCTTGACTTAATATCAACTCATTAAGTTTTTAAGAGTTAAAAATCTAGAGCAGACTTCCCAGCATGCATTGCTTGGGAGATAAAACTCCTCCAGAGACTCTTATTTTGTAGCTTGAAGAAAAGGTTCACAATGAAAAGTGGCTGGATGTCATATTATTGTTTCTAATGAGAAAAGGACACATCAGGGGGGATGTTGGTAGTTTTGGCTCAAAGTATCTGGAAGATGCTTCACATGTTGTTTTAGGTGTAACATGGAATCAGTGCTTGTGACTGGTTGTTGTTCATGACAAATAAAATATCTTAAATTGAGAAAATGTGAAAGCAAAGTAAGTCTGTCTGTAATGATTGTGAGACAGAACACAGTTAATTCATTATCTTAAGTTGACTGAACTTGTTCCATCAGGTAGTTGTTTACATTTTAAAACTCAGATTTATCCAACCAAACATGACTTACTTCATCATTTAATGAGAAGGTTAACTTGTTTGTGTGTTGAGCAAAGTTTGAATGATTTACAGTAAAGTTACACAAGTTAAAAAAAAGAAAAACGTCACATCACAAACCAAAGGAAGTGAAGCAATCTGGCACAAAAAACTAAAAGTTCTCTTATTGGCTAACTCATGATTTCACCTCATGAATGACACCTAGCATTTAATCTTAATGTCAGATCAGCTTTAGATTTATTGGACAAACTATCTTCAGTGTCCAGTTACATCCACTATATTTATTTTTAGTTATCGTTACTTTCATAAACTCTCACTTTCCTCCTGTCGCCATGTTCCCTCCACCAGTCTGTGGTGCGTTCAGGGCTCCCCGGATTCCTCTCTCCTCGTCCCAGCACAGAAGCCACTCTTTGCAGAACTGTGTAAATAATGTGTATTTTCTTTTTTTCTTTCGTAGGGGTGAGCCAGGGTCCGTGTGAGAGGCAGGGGGTGAAGCCACTGAGGCAATGGCAGGCCTCTGTCCGTGTGAATCGGAAAGACGATTAGGGGCTTATTAGCGGCCTGGGGAGAAGTGTAACCTGTTGGGAGTGAGCGGCCAGAGCCCCAGCGACATCTCCAGCCGAGAACAGTCCGAGGCATTGTCCCACCTAATTACGGCCGATGGACTTCTTTTTGTTTCCCATTCGGCATGCCTGTCTGATTCTCTTTTTGCCCGGCCGCTTGCTCCGACGACGCTGAAGTGTGCTAATTAGAAAAGAAATGGTCCTAGTAATTACGTCAACTCTTATTAGCGGCGATGACAATGAGCAATATTATTTTTACGCAATGTTTTGTGTCGGGGACCCTGCTTCCAATGCTCATTAGGAGGAAATCGCGCCCTGATAGCCGGGAGAGCTGCTTCCACGTCCACGGCAGAGAGCTGCTGCTGCTGCTGCTGCTGGGTGGAAGTTAATTAAAAGTTGAGCATCAGCAAAGTTAGCTGCAAAAACTTTCAAGTGAAATGACAGGCAATCATCTTTTCATTTTAAAAGTTTATTAAACAATCTCACAAATTGCAAAAAAAAAAAAAAAAAAAAAGTAAATCATGTTTAAAATAGAAGTCAGAATAAATAGGGAACATTTCATCAAGTGAAGAGGAGTTCAGTGGAAAGTAATAAAAGCAAAGGCGTCTGTCTGGAGGAGATGGGCTCACCGAGGGGTTGGAAGAGAAGACCTCAGATGTGTGAGAGAGCTTTTTTTCTTTTTTTTTTTGCTCCGATTTAAGGTTTGAAAAGTCTTTGAACTGTGAATGTGTTCATCGCGTACCGGCAGAGATAAGAATCACCTTGAAATCCTCAACATTTCCGGTCGCTTTGCATGAAGAATCGTCACTTCTTGGGCCTCTCCAAGATGTTCAGGAACTTCCCTCTGGTCATCTCTCTGGCTGGAAGACAAGAAGACACAAGAGTGGACATATTAGATCAACCACAGAATATGATGCTTGATTGTAATGATTTACCAGCAGCCAACTGTCAGTCTTACAGCCTGCAGCTCCTACAACTCCACAACAGTTGGTTATTAATGCAAAGCATGTATTTAATAACTGCAGCGTCACACTGGGAGGCAATTTATACAAACATCTGTTCATTGAGGACATGGAAAACAACATAAAATGGAGACGGAGCAACCAAAGAGTCTTGCTGATCGCATGACTGCCGTCTCAGTGTCACATCAGTTATGGTGTAAAAATGCATAAAATAAGTGACGGATGACGAGCGAAACAGGATTAAAGGCTAAAACTGAACACCAGATACGGTTGCAGCGAAGGTTTCCAAACAGTCTGGGATCCTCTTAACGGGTCACGAGATAAATCAGAGGGGTCACGGCAGGTCAAACGGGACGGGAAATAATGCTGCAAATTCTAAATCTCAACCGTTCAAACTAAAATAAAACCTAAAATGAAACAATCCGAGGTGTGGAAATGCCTCATAGGTCGACAGCATGTGGAGGAGTCACGAGTTTGGTTTGCTTTAAAACCACATCAGGCTAACACTCAGGAAACAGCTGTCCTCAGACTTGTTCTCTCTTGGTCTCGTCACTGATTAATAAACTAGTAGCTGAGCTGGTGTTGCTCATGTTGCACCTTCAATTTGCACCCTTTTGATGATCTGTATAAATGTAAATATCAATATATCTGCACCCTCAATATAAATAATAAATAAATAATACCACAGTTTTACAGTTCTTATTTTTTAAATTTAACTTTGTGTCAGCTATTTTTATTTACTTTTGTTTTTTTTTTTTTTAGCTATTTTTATATTTTTATTGTGTACATTGCACCTTAAGTGTATATTTACTGTGGCACCAACCCACCAGAACAAATTCCTCGTATTGTACGTTTTATTATTTAATTGTTAAAGGACCAGCGTGACATTTCTGTTTCTGTTTCCAAACACGAGGCGGTCAGAACATCAGAAACCACCTCAACGACGTCTTTGGCATCCGAAAAGACGACTTCATGCAGATCCGTCGTATCCGACTTTTGCTTTCAGGTCGCTGAGGCTGCAACAGTACGCTTTGTTAATTACAATTAAGTACACCTGGCAATAAATCTGTTTCTGATTCTGATGCTTGAGATGTGAGATGGTTACACCTACAGGAGATTTGACATGACGATAAAACACAGGAACTTTATTTGAAATGTGTAGAATTAACACTGACTTTATCACTTCCACACATGAATAGAAGAGCACAGATACTGTTGGATGTGATGGTGTTAGTTGAGAAGCACCAGTTCACTCATTTCATCACCTGACACCTGTAACACAAACACAACACGACTTGTTAACACGGACCAACAACAGCGAGCGGCTTCAGGGTTTGCACCACTTAGTCCTACGACACAATCATCCCCACTGAAGGGCCTTTATGAAAGCGGTCTCCATCGTTCCAGAGGCTTTTCTGTCAAACACAAACCCTTCAGCGACTCGTGGAGACTGCAGGGACCTTCCTGCAGCGTCATCGTAAACCCCGGAGAGGCACCGTGGAGGCACAGTAATTACTCTTTGTTAAAGATAAGAAGAGGATCAGCCTCTCAGCTCCACTCAGCTTTCTATGAGCTGCAAAGCCGGGGTCGCCTCGCTGGCTTTAAAGTGGCGTTTAAGAAATCTTGTACATCACACGAGACTGCAGAGCGTCAGGCAGGCAGGCAGGCAGGCACGTATTCCAAACAGGCATCAGGCAGAAAGTCATCCGCCTTCATAACAGGAATGTGATTAGGATCTCAACTGGCTGCTGTTTGCCTGAGGCGCCCCGCCTTCCCTGCCCACGGCGGCTAATGAAAAACCCGGGGCAGTTAGTAATTTAGATGAGTTGCCCTGGGTGGAATGATAATGGTTCATCTGGGTGTGGGGGCCACATCACCTTGAGGTGTCCATCATTAGGTTTAAGATGATGCTAATTGGAATGGGACGGATTCATTTTGCACTTTGCTGTCTCTTCAAATCACCCTAAACAAAGTCATCAGCGGACCCCTGGACACGCCGAGGGTGCTTTAGATTGAAATGAAGCCGTCCGAATTAGGCGAGGGAAAGCAATTACACCGGGATGACCCCAAAACCGCCGCCGCGCTGGTGTCACTTAGGAACGGGAAAGGGTGGCAAGTTAATATTTTTGAATTTTAAGGTGTCGTGCTTCTCTCTCGTTATCACTTTCTTCGTCTCTTGATGAGCCCAAACTGTAAAACAGTTCAATGACGGCCGTGCCACTCCTCCTGAGGCTCCTCGCCCCGCTGAGTGTCTCATTAATTACGGCTCGGTTCAGCCGCCCCCTAGCCAGGTAGAAACTCAGATTACTGGTATAATAACGTTAAAGAGCCCATTAAAACAGGAACCAGTGCTCGGCCTGCTGTTTGGCTGAAACTTTACCAGGGACAAGGATTGAATGGTTTGACTGAAACATCCATTTAGCCATTTATGACACCGATTTTTTGACATCCTGCTTCGGTTCAACATTCACCACGTGATAAATTCATAAATCAGATGAAGCATGATCGTATGAGGAACCTTCAGACGGTGGCATTAATTTTTAAAACCCCTGACATGACAGTTTAATCCCTTGTATAATGTATAATGCAATTTACAGCTTTTACAATTTGCTAACTGAATTGTTTCAAATTGCTTTTCAATCGATTAATTGTTCAGCCCAATCAGGAAAATCATTGACGAATTGAAATGATGCAAATCAAAGATAAACACTAACTAAACTCAAGCATAGTAGAACCACTGGCTGTGTCTGCAGCAGCACCAGTGGCTCTTTGAGGCTGCACAATGGTAACTTAAGCTAAATGCTAACATTAGCATTCATACTTTCTGATGTCCAGCAGATGTTTACTCCTGTCTATACCAGTGCTACATGCTCACATCTGCATATTAGCACTAAATAGGAAGCTTAAGGTGATTGCAGTGTCAGTAGTTTTGCAGGTATTTATGTATCAACAATCAAAAACGCTAAAAAAAACTAGTAAGAAGATCAAATGAGGGTGTGAAACAGAAATGCAGAGGACCACCAAAACTCATACAAGTCATTCATGTGATTCTGGAGTTAATGTCGTAGAAAAAAGGTGAAGATAGTTGATTGATATTAATTAAAAGGTTTGTTTTGCTGCAGTAGCTTGTTACGGTGCAATTTTATCTATTCGTACAAGTTCAGTTTTAGGCTGCAAGGTGGAGCGGTGGTTAGTACCGTCGCCTCGCAGCTAGAAGGTTCGCATCCCAGTGAGGACACCCAGGATCCTTCTGTGTGGAGTCTCCATGTTCTCCCCGTGCAGCGTGGGTTCTCTCCAGGTTCTCCAGCTTCCTCCCACACAGTCCAAAAACATGCTGAGGTTAATTGGTGATTCTAAATTGTCCGTAGGTGTGAATGTTTTTTAACAAATGACTAATTAAGAGTTGTTTTGACACATGACTAATAATAAAACGCTGCGGTGGCTGTACATTTCTATAACACACACATTAAAACCAGGCGATAGACACCCCTGAGAAGCACACACCAATGCAGGAGCACGCTGAAAACACACACCAACAGAAAGTGCACACGGGCTTTGTCATACAGCCGGGGAGATCAATACTGATTAGGGGGACTTACAGATTTGTTTAGTTGATTAGAAAGGTCAATTACTAATTTTGCACTAAGTTAATCAGCATGTTGTTACGACTGCCATCCATACTAAATGACACCTTATGGATTGTGGGGGCCATCGCCTCGCCCTGTTGATTTGTTGCGATCTAATTATCATTTAGCCTTAACTGGCCACAGATTCCGTCGCAATCTACCACAGCAGTTTAGTGAACGCAGTTAATTTTGGCTAAATTAGATATTCTCCACTGCATGGGCTCAATTCATTTTTTTAAAGCAATAATTCCCCTCCGCTGCTCACATATCAGTCCTGTACAACGACGACAATGGAGATTAACCCGTATCCTCAAACAGCTAAATATGCCAGCAGGCTATTTAAAATGCTCTTTCCTAATCTGCAGAGCCTGCGCCGCTACAATCCGGACGCTTCTGCAATTTTCATTTGGCAAATCCCGCGTGGCTCAGATGTAAATGCAGGCGGTGTAACATCTTACTTTCCCCTCGTTTACGACGAGTGATCTGGGTGTCATTGTCACAGTCTGCTCCCCTCCCAGCCCCCGCCGCCGCTCCCCTGTGTATAAAATGAGAGTAATCATCACTTTGTCTCCCCCCGCCGCCTCCCTTCCATCCCGATGGCACGCTCCCGCTGAGCCGCTGGACCCCTGTTAACTGCAAAGACAGATGACCACCTGGGTTAACTGGAGTCCTGGACCCCCAGCCCCGACTGCCCCGATTCGCTTTCATTAAGAGTTAAGAGGACTTATCTGACCCTCGCTGGCCATCTCCGAGTGCTGCTCAGCTATTACGGGATGTAAGCTTTATTTAATGGATTTAACATCCACTTTCACCGCCCTTCTCCCCGGGGACGAGGGAGACACAGAGGAGATGACACACACACAAACACTCAAGCATGGAAACACTCGGCGGCACACATATTCAGCCCAGGCACCCGCCCAACACCTCCCCCTCCACCACCACCACCATCACCACCACCACCGCCACCACCCCACGCCTCGCAACACATACACCTGACGCTCATGTTTGTGTTCAAAATTCAATTACCCACTTATTGATACTTCACGGGGATATTTAAGATGCAGACACGAGCTGTGATTTCCCAGGGGAGCCACTGGTTCCTCTTTATGTCCCAACCGAGAGGGCCCACCACCCCTCCACCGCCTCCTCCTCCTCCTCCCTCCTCCTCCAATGCATTTTCGCCTGGCTGACACACACACACACACACACATTCACACACCAAAACAAACACATCTGCACCTCCCAACCCCTGCCCCAGCCTATGCCTGTTCAAGAGGTGTCCTTATTAATAGGCAATCAGTCAAAAATCATTCATTAAAAAGCCTAAAAGGTTTTACACCCGCGCTATGATTAGCTGGGAAAGAAAATCCAATGAATTCCTAATGCCTTTATGTAAATGAGGTGTCATTTCCGATCTGCTCAGGGAGGCGGCAGGCAGGCAGGACTGAGAAGCAGTGTGTGTGTGTGTGTGTGTGTGTTAAACTCTGCCTCGCTTCCTTCACACAGCCCCAACACTGATCCTGTTTAGGATATGTGCAGGCTCTACCAGATACACCACAGAAAGAGACGTCAGCCTGTTGCAAAAATGGAACTACTGTCAGAAGATTTCGACTATAAATACTACCACCAGTATGAAATGACATTTGAGCAATGCCTGCGTTGGAGCCAGTTTGAGAGAACTCGCCACAAGCTTGCTGAATTGTAAACCGAGTTTCCAAACAGAACCATCCTCGTTTCACTTTCCTCACACGGGAGGTGCCGTCTTGAAGGAGATACGCCACAATGCCGCCATTCATCGCAACGATGAGCCCAAGGAGACACAGGGGAGAGTTGAAAAGACGGTGAAATAGTAGAGGTGAGGAGGAGGAGGAGGAGGAAGGAGCGGTGGCGGTGGGGAAGCATCCCCTGTTCCTCATTCAGCGGCTGTCAGCTCAGGCACTTCATAACCGCCCGCCCCGCGGTCAGCCCGCCCTGATGGATTGATGGAGGCACATTAGCACTAGTGGGGCCCAGTGAATGCAATCATATTCAGCAGCGGCATGCTTCTAATAGGCCGGAGATTGATCCTGAGCGTGAGGAGGAGGCGGCGCTGGTGAATGTGGGCCCATTAGCAGCTGTCGGGGCAGGGTGACCTTCAGTCTCACCTTCACGCCGGCCGACGCAACAGGGGTCAGCCTGGGTGTGCGCCAGGTGGCACCGCGGCCGAGCAGAGGTGATGTGGGGGTACGACGGAAGCCACAACAGGTGGTCCTTCGCTCTGAATGCACTAAGTGATGCTGTTTTTACTTACATATCAAAGATCTGGGGTATAACACAGTTGTATGAAAGTTTACAGCTGAAAAGGACAAAGGAATGCCTTGGTTAATGTAGGAGCCAGATAACATTTTGGTACCACTCAAGGCAGCAGAATAAAGCTGATAACTGATGATAATCTAGTACAAAAACCATTGCTGGGTGCCAGTTTTGTCACTGTCATGAAGTTACCCAGACACCCACAATACATTAAACTAGTAATGCATTTAGGTTCCTGTGGTTAGCTCATGGAGAANATAATAATAATAATAATAATAATAATAATAATAATAATAACTAAACACACTGGCAGTAACCCGGTGTGTAACCCAGACACACACACACATCCCTGCTGCCTGTTCTGTTTCCGGCTCTACTCTTTGTTCGGGCTCGGATCACCTGAGCTGGCGGACTGGCTGGTGTCCAGCGGCCCCACGGACCTGCTGTGGGGCTGCAGGTGGACGTCCGGTCCCTCCGACAGCACGCTCTCCAGAAACGCCGGTTGGCTGTAAAACGACGGGATCCCACCGGGGCCGATTAATCCCATCCCGACTCCCACGCCCACGCCGGCGGGGCCCAGCACGGACCTGGCGGCGATCAGGTGCGCCCCGGCCGGCAGCGAGCCCAGCGGGTTCCTCGGCGCCGCGGACGGCTCCTTGTTGAGCCCCAGGATCTCCTGGATGCCGAAACCGGTGCACCTGGGCGGCGGATGGGTGGCGGTGGTCTTCGGCTGGTGGCTCCCTCCGTTCCCGCCCAGAGAGGTCTTCTCCGGCAGATGTAAACTTTCCGACAGCACGGCGCCTGGTTTGCCCGTCATGGCTGCTGCGATGCTTCCTTGAAAGGCCTTTTATTTTTTCTTCTTTCTTCTTCTTATTATAGCGTCTTCCAGGATGGTCCCCAGTGCATGATCCTCAGCCTAACACACGGGAGTCCTTTAGAAAATGGTCCTTTTATCCAACAGGTCCATCCCAACAAGAGGCAGGACGCAGCAGCCAATCAGCTGCAAGGATTCCGGATTCCTGTGGATCATGGATGCATCAGACGCCCTCTTGAATACATATCTGCATTTTCCTCAGGACTGTATGGATGAAGGAGGATGGGATTTAGGCTGTGGGAAGGAACGGGCACACTGGGGGAAGAAAAGCAACAACCTGACAGTAAACACAACAACAACAACAACATCACACCTCCATTGTGAGCCCATTACAAACTCACTGATGGCACAAATCTCCCTCAGAAAGCGAATCAAACCGTCTGCTTCACACCTCTCGTTACTCACCTTTGAAATGCGGCAGGTTTTTTAGAAAATTACCTCAATCTGGCGGAATAAATCAGCGCGCATCGCCTTTCGCTGGATGCTTTTCTCACCAACACAAAGGGACGCGGCTGTGATCTCTGTGCCATGCAGCCGCTGGGGCTCACGCCGATGGATAATTGATCTCCAGATGCTACTATGAGGGAGAAAAAAAACTCATCACACNAGACTGGGATCATTTTAGACTGTTGTGGGGGAACTAGATACTTTAAAAAAAATGCCTGAGATTTTGATTTGTGAGCAGTTTCGCCTTAATTTGCAGACAATCCAGCCTCCAACATGCAACAATTAGGGAGGTTTTGAGCCTATTGATGATGAATAAATCATTCGGTGATGCTGTATAGATCACATACAAGCCGTCATTAGGAACAGATTTTAAGCAGAAATCATTTGGCTGCAGTTAAAACACAGTGTTGATCCATTAATTGTTGTTTCCAGGAGGCCACATGTGCTCCACTCTGGTGCAACATTCAACCCTCCTGATATGTTCTGGATCAGTTTGACTCCATTCAGTGTTTAACATCTCTACATAAGTCATAATTTGTTCAGTTTTATTTAAAGGGATATTTACACATAAACTTGAGTTAATTATGATGTTTTCTGGAGGTTTAAATTGCTGGAGTCGAGGATAACTGATGTCAGTAAATTTGAAGGTAACAGGAGGGTTAAAAGAATGTATAACAGAATTTTTTTTCTACATATACAAAAATCTTCAATATCAGCACAGTCTTTGAAATATGTCTTTTTTAATATATGTATTATCTGAAATAGCGTGATTAGGTTCATTTTGTCTACTCTGATTATAGGTATACAGTTTATTTTCTTTTCTTTTTTTTTTTTTTTATCAAACAATGAGCTTTTTTAAGTAGGAGCTGTTTTTAACCTGACATGTTTCGACTGACACTTCAGTCTTCCTCAGAAACGTCACCACAGACGTCAGTGTCATTTCACAGCTCCTACTTAAAAATACTCATTGTCTGATGAAAAAAGAAACCGTATACCTGCATTTTCTGAGTGTTTCCACATGTTCTGCTGTGTTAATGTCTTCCTACACATAGAACAACCCTGTAGAATTGTTCTACATTTATAGGAATCTGCAAAATCTGAATTTCTACATATGACGGTGAAAATTGTGGTTTATTTTTTAATTTTCATGTTGATGTCCCTACATTTATTTTTTTGCAAATGTCCCCACTGTGGGACTAGTAAAGACTTATTTTATCTTGAGTAATTGTTAATAGCTTCTGTAACCATTTTCATAACAGACAGAAGTAGTTTTCCTTCTTATAGCTTCTTATAGCCCAACCCAACCCCTCACTGCACCCAGAACTGATCCCTCCTTTGCACATACCTCAGGACAATAATTTGCACTGGATCAGAATTTGCACATAACACTTTCTGTGTCCTGTAAATACCTTGTTTGCTTTAATATTTTACATTTTATTCTTTACATATATACATTTATCTTTCCTTTCACATTGTTTTATTATTATTTTATTTTTGTGCTTGTGTATTACTGCCACAAAATGATATTCCACTGCTGTAACACTGTCTTTTTCACAATAAAGAACTATTTTATTAACATCTAAGAGCTGAAATATAAAGTTCAGCTTTAACCCTATCCAGGACTTTCATGGTGCCATACGTAGAAGGTTTTTCCATTGGTCCCCAAGAAAGAAAATGTGCAAAATATTTGTTGTTATTCATTAAAGACTTTTACATTATGTTAAATAAATGCTCTAAGTTGGTGTATTTTTGGTTCCAAATGCATGACAAATGTCCCTCTTTTTATATTTTAAAAAAATACACCTGTCACCTAAACCAACAGACCCCAGAAGTCCTGAACCGGGTGAACCATGACTGTCCTGAAGGTGTCCATATTAGAAAAGTGGCAGCAGCTCCTTCTTCTGTTGGTGCAAGGAAACTAATCTCCAGTAGATATTTTTTTAAAGATGACCTGCGTGTGTGTGTGTGTGTGTGTGTGTGTGTGTGTGTGTGTGTGTGGGATCTCTGGTGTGATTTAAAGTGACTCAGAAAACAACTGTCCTGTTTGGATTCAGTCCATTGATCGTGCACAGCGCGCGGCCTACAGGTGGAACACATCTCTGCCTCCTGTCACTGCTCATCTCCAGCTCTGCGCGGCGGCCTCACAGCCGCTCTGACGCGTCAACACACAGCCAGCAGCTGCTTCCAGGCCCTGCAGCCTCCGCGTCAGACAGAGAAGAGGAGGAGGAGGAGGAGGAGGAGGCCAAATTGATCGCATGGCACAACACAGGATTGTTAAACACTCTACTTAGGCACCTCTGATGGCTCCGAGAGGAGGAGGAGAGGAGATCCAAGACAGGGGGACAGATATTAAATTGAAAACGATCAAACCGTTTCTTTTTTTCCTCCTCCTCCTCCTCCCCGGGAAATCCGAAGAAAAACCCTAATTCAAAAAAAAAGCCTTTTTCCTTTTTCTTTTTTGTCTCCTTTATGAGAAATTGCTTCTCTCGGCCCTCCCCTTCCTCAAAAGCAGCCGGTGCGTAAGCGGCGAGGAGGAGCGACCCTGGGGCGCGCCGAGGCTGATTGAAAAATAAGTTAATTTCAGGCCCAATCGATGGCGGGCAGGCGGGCAAATATCACGGGAAATTAAACTACCGGGGACTCTGGGGAGCAGCGCTATTGACCCGTGCTAATAAATTCAATGTAGTTATTTTATTTGAACTCCCTGCGCCTCGGCAGCAGCAGCAGCAGCAGCATCCAGCCTCCAGAGCTCGTCTGATTTAACTAATTACACTCAATGAGAAAATTGGGTGTTAATTTTATTTAGGGGATGGGAGCAAGAGGGGGAGGAGGAGGAGGAGGAGGAGAGGGGGTGCCAGGGCTTATTTATTTATTTCCTTTTATTATTTATTCGCGCCTGCACTGTTGCAGCCCGTAATGAGAATGAGATTAAAAGGCTCCCCGGCAGATGGATGGTCCAGGTCACACCGCAATCTTCCTCCGCCTTGATAGCTTGATTAGGTCGTTAGTGGCTCCCTTCTCCGAGAACAAATTGTTTCACATCCAACTGCGCCTGATGAGAGATTATCTGTCCTGGCGAGGCTGCTGCTGCTGCTGCTGCTGCTTGGAGGAGAGCGAGTCTTTGTTCAGACAGGAGGGCAGCATCTCTGATCGATTCACAGGGATGGAGGGATGGAGGGATGGTGGAGGGATGGAGGGATGGAGGAGGGATGGAGGGGAGGAGGGCTAAACCTTAGAACAGCTTAAACACGAGAGCAGGCAGGTATTACTGCAGGTGATCAGCTCTGAAGGATGCTCGTACAGGTGCATATTCATGAGGAGCACAATCAGAATATTCACACAAATCCGAGTTTATTTTAGTTGTGGAATAAATTCCTTTTAGAACCTCTTTTCAAGAAAAGGCTGCTTATGCTGGAGGCAACGTTTAGCGTCTGTCTAGTCATTTAAATCACACCAGATCCTTTAAATTCAATCAAATGAATTAAATTAGCAACGACACACACTTGGAATATAATATCTATAGAGGCAGCTGTTTCTATATTTGCAGAGCATCGTGAAGAAAAAATCTATTTAGAAAAAAATGTGCTTTTATTTTATTATTATTTTGTTTTATTATTTTATTTTTGAGCACATTACTGGGATATTTATTTAAAATGTGGCAAAACATAGCTGCATGACACTAGAACGGCTGTATTAAATTACCATAGAGTCGAAATAATGAAAATAGCTTGTAATGTTAAAACAACAAATAAATAAATACAAAGTAATAAAAAATAAGGGTATCAAAAAGCCTTATTATGGATTGTCTGGGTTTTGTTTTTTTGTTTTAAAAAACAAAGCAAAAAAATAAAAGACAATTCTTTAATTAACACACCTTAAATGAGCTCATCAATTAAAATATAAAACAAATAAATAAAAAATAAGAATAAAAAACCAAAATAAGGGAACCAAACAGCCTTAACATTGATTATCCATGTTTTGTTTTGTTTTTTTTAACGACTTTTCTTTAAATAACACACCTTAAATTACCTCATCCTTAAAAATATAAAACAAATAAATAAAAATAGAGCTGATTCTTGCCTGTATTCTGTCCTCCGGCAGCTCTGTCTTCATGGCCAGCATCTCTCGGGCGTAAACATCAGGATAGTGCGCCTCGTTGAAGGCCTTCTCCAGCTCCTCCAGCTGGTACGACGTGAAGATGGTCCTGTGGTGGAGACAAGATTTAAAGATAATCCTGCAGAGGAAAGAAATAAAAAATCTCCCTGCTCTGACATTTAAACTGAAGAACAAACGTCTATGATTAAAAATAAATCGAAAATAAAAAAGGGAACATTTAATGCATTTCAATAAATAATTACCAGATTATTCTCTCACGTGTAAATGAAAGAAAATAAAGCATCAGAATAAAAACTTCCTCATAAAACTTTGCACAAACACACGAGACACACTTTAATATATTTTAGCAAATTATTAACAGTATCAGTAACATAATACCA